CCATCAGTTTTCTAATTCGTGTTCTGTGATTCCTATTGCGTATCTCGTGTCCTGAATTCTGTGCGTAACTTCACTACTACTACTTCCCATATCACTGCAGTGGGGTTCAATAGAAGTACGCGCTACCAATGCGCCCAAACAAGCTGTTTGACGCTCCTTGTGGTCTTTCCACGAGAATTCATCGCCTCCAAAATTATACTCAATTCATCTGTGGAATGTGATATTCCAAAGAGAGATTTTTACCAGTAGCTTTAGATCGAAAAGGTTGGACGAATACTGTCACACCGCGAGAGTTTGTGATGGGAAACGGGACAAAGATGTATCTAGATGTATTCCAACAAGAACTCACTTCTCACTCGATCTACGGCAACCTTATCCTTAACCTGATGCCTTCATCTAACCTAATGGCCTGGGACACTGGGAAATGAGATTTGACATGGTGGGATTGCTATGATGATGATGATGGTTGAATAGTAAATGTCATCAACCTATCGTTCCGGAAAACGTGTTCGAATCTCACCATCACTGCCCGACTTAACCCATTATCTGATTGGCCGCTTTCCCTCTCCTGAAAATTATATCATTGTGTCGACAATACAAGAAAGTGAAATAAAGAATAAAAATAAACATAAGTAAAAAAGTAATGGCATGGGTTTGTTCAACGCAGCCTGGAATGTTTCTTCAATCTTGTGTCGAAAAACCTGTGTAACTAGGCACACGTAGCATGCTGGAGAGAGAGTGGCAAGCCATTCATGTTGGTAACACAGTTGGACGTGGTTGTCCCGGGGGTGGTCTTCGAGTTTGTATACAGAAAATGAAAAAACTGTGTTTGACTAATACGCATCATCATTTGTGTGAGCTATAAATACCGCGGTCACTTTTGAGAAGTAAAAGTCCCGCATAATACTTTATTCCCATTGCAAGCAAATACGGTGTAAAATGGAGTAAAACAGCTGTCAAGAATAGTTTCACATTTAATGTGTTCCTTTCTCCCAAAGAATAAGCTATCTGATAGACAACGAGGGGTCAGCGTGATAAATCTTTATTGTTATTGAGTTTCAAATTTATATTATAGGAATAACCTACAATCTCATGCTCCTCTCGTTCTTTAGGTTCGTGTAGTAGTTAAAAGAGAGTGATACATACAATCCCTTGTGTTGAATTTCACATGATACGGGAGTCTGCCACTGCTGCACGCGGCTTCAATTATGTTGAAATGTAAGGTGTGCTAATGTTTCATCGAGTCTCAGTTTGAAAGATTCAATACTTGGTGCACAGGTGACGTGGGGTGGGAGAGAGTCCCAGATCGAACACACTGACTGTGAATCACTGTCGCTGGTATTCCAATCTGCATTGGGAGACCACTACTTTGAAAGGATTTTGTGGTAATCGGAACAGTATTGAATTTAGGAGTACGTGAATCCGTACTGTACTGCTCAGAACTGAATTGGCTCCAACCCGAACTGCGGACACCAATGAAATACACGAGGAATTGATAGCACCAAATGCTTATGTTTATGGATGGAATTAGATCATGTTTTATGGAATGTAATAGTTCATATGATTGGTTGAACGAGCATTCTCTAATCACGTAACCGTTTGCACCGGCGTATCATATGTGCTAACTCGGATGTCATTTTCGCTCGGTGTACCATTGGTCGAGCTTCCTGAACGGTAAATGGATGACATGAAACTGTACCTAGTCGTGCATGGATTGCGGTCGCGGGAGTCTGGTTCACCACAACTCTTTTCCCTCAAGAGTGCCTTGTCAATCTGGCTTGCCTGACGGCTAGACCTACGGACTGCAATCGTTGGCTCCGCCTGTTCCTGGCAGGTTCCTTGTGTTCCGATTGGTTGTTTCTGCACATCTGACTGATGCGGCTCCGTCGGTTGTGCTAATGGGGTATGCAACTGAATGTCGTCCTCGCTTGTCTGTTGATGCCGCTGGTTCGTGGATGATTTGAAATGGATTTGGTCCACGTGTCGCTTGTGCACAGTAGCGTCATTCAAGTCGGTAATTTCCACCATGACTTGACACAGTTGTCGTGTGACTATAGCGGACGCGGGTCGCAAATTATTACCACGGAAGTATACGACGTCACTGGAGTCGAGGCACTGTAGGGAGGATCTCAAGCGTCTGGATTTAAGAAGCATTGCCGGGCTCTCCTTGGTGGTTGTATGTGTTGCATTTCGGTATTGGAGTAGGAAATTATCCACCAACGTTTCCAACTCATGTAGCGTTTTAGGATTGGCAGACGCAATTGCACTCTTGACAGTTTTGACTAGATTCTCTGCCGCTCCGTTCGAACAGGGGTGACGAGGCGCAATTCGAAGATGTCGGCAACCGATGC